ATATATATATATATAGATATATATATATATATATATATGATATATATATATATATATATATATATATATATATATGATATATATATATATATATATATATATATGATATATATATATATATATATATATATATATATATGATATATATATATATATATATATATATATATATATATGATATATATATATATATATATATATATATATATATATATATATATGATATATATATATGATATATATATATATATATATATATATATATATATATATATATATATATATATATATATATCTATATATATATATATATATATATATATATATATATATATATATATATATATATATATATATCTATATATATATATATATATATATATATATATATATATATATATATATATATATATATATATATATATATATATATATATATATATATATATATATATATATATATATATATATATATATATATATATATATATATATATATATATATATATATATATATATATATATATATATATATATATATAGATATATATATATATATATATATATATATATATATATATATATATATATATATATATATATATATATATATATATATATATATATAATATATATATATATATATATATATATATATATATCTATATATATATATATATATATATATATATATATATATATATATATATATATATATATATATATATATATATGATATATATATATATATATATGATATATATATATATATATGATATATATATATATATATCTGATATATATATATATATATCTGATATATATATATATATATATCTGATATATATATATATATATATCTGATATATATATATATATATATATATCTGATATATATATATATATATATCTGATATATATATATATATATATCTGATATATATATATATATATATCTGATATATATATATATATATCATATATATATATATATATATCTGATATATATATATATATATATATCTGATATATATATATATATATATATATATATATATGAGTAGGGGACATCAGCCCGAATCACTGGCTCGCCGTGCTTTGGCGCGCCGCCGGCTCGTTTGGCTGCACGCCAGCTTTCGAGCTCTTTTTTTACACGCCGATCGGTGTCACCCGGCACGAAGGGGTTAACAGCAATAAGAAGATCAATATTCTCAAGTACTTGCAAATACATTCTGTATAGCAAAGAAATAAAATCATCACTGCCATGCTACATCAGTAAAGCCATTTTGGAAACAAAGAAATACTCCTTTAAGGACGCAAACTTGTTAAGTTGCATATTGTTAACCTCTTATGAACTGAAAAAGCCAGTTAAACAGAAAATTTTGCTATATACAGCAAATTCCCCAGCTAAAAGGCTAGATGGTTGCCAGATCAATGGAATGAGTAACAGAAATTTCTGGCACCAACAGTGTAGCGTTAAGCCAACCCTCCCATATTTTCTAATCCTTTACCAACGGTCCACGAGCTGAGGCATCATAAACCACTCGATCTGTGGAGAGCGGCTGTACGCCGCGGTGACGTGGCAAAGCGCTACAACCCAGGGGTTCAGTTTGATATAGCAAATTCCTGTACTCAAAGTCAGCTTGTCAGTAAGAAAACTTTGGTGATAGTGAAAAAATCTGATGCCTTTGCCTCAAAGTATATCTTGGCAATATCATGCTTTGAGAGCTTTTCACGTACAACTGAGTGATTAGGCTAATAGCATTGTATACAAATGATGAACCAATAGAACTATTCTCAACCTTCAAACTGGTTATCTTATTTGCTGAACCAATTGACAATTAGTGACATCCTTTCACGTCATGGCAAATATTACCAGACACCAGGTGAGTTTCACCTGGTGAGACATCACCTGAGCAATGGTTAACCCCTAAAAAGCCAAGAGAATCTGTTTGAGCTGGAGCAACAAAAAATAGATAAATAATATTTTTGGTGATAATTTTGGTATCCATTTGGAGTATCCAATGATATTTTGACAATTAAAAATCTGAATACACAGTTTTGGCCTCCATCTAGAATATCTATGGCCTCATAGGGAGGCCATAGTAACCAAGCCCCATCCAGACCATGTTATTCATTTTTAGCTGAATACTTGGTCCTTGGCTGCCCATCCTAGACCACCTGCCTGCTCCACCCATTCATTTCCATGCTTATCTACAATTGGTCCTTGGCTGCCCATCCTAGACCACCTGCCTGCTCCACCCATTCATTTCCATGCTTATCTACAATTCTGCCTCTTCACAGTTTGTTATGTATCAACTCTCTCTAGCAGTTTTCTTATCCTTAGGCTGTCCAATCTTCTTAATTCACTAACCTCATGCAAGTAGCACTTTGGCCAAATTTTATTCAATGTGTTAATTATATATCTACTTGAGAAATGTCTTTTGGGGAGGAAAATCATACCTTGTTATTGAGCTGCCCATTTCTGCCCATCCCCAACCACCCAATCTAAATACAAGAAAAGAGAGAGATGGGTAAACCTATATATTCAAACCTACTGTGGGTTAAGCCAAACATTTCATGATCGGAAAAATGCAATCAGATGCTTAATATAGCTCACTACAGTTTACAAATAAAAAATTTGCCACTGACGAAACTTTGCAAAATTGCTGGAGTTGTCAGCTAAGAAGGTAAAGTCATCTGCAGAAGATGGAGTCTAACCCTGTCAATCCGGAGGCAAACTTGTCATCGTGAGCATTTTGGCTGAAGGCCAGGGTGATGGAAAAGAGTGTAATGTCCATGTGCAATGACTGGCTGCATGATGGACACCATTTTCAAACTCATTATCATATTCCTGGTGCCATGACTGGCAGTGCAGGTGGTATTACAATAAATTTAATATTATAAAGAAAAGAAAAGAAAAGAAAAAAAAAGGGAAAAAAAAAAAATTGCAAATAACAATGTTAAATATTTCTATTTTTCTTACACCGAGTTGTCTGTCCAAAGAAAACAGTTTATTCCCATCTGGATAATGTAAATCAAATGACAATACGGTCTTGTTATTACACACGTGTTTGCGTGCGCTCAGCCTACAAGCCACACACCCAGTACTGTGGCCGCTCACATAAGCCTAATCCCCAAATTTTTGCCTATGTGAATGCCATTATGCAACTGGATCTAAGGGATTATGGGTTAAGTAACTGTTATATTGTATATCTGATAATGGCAAATTTAAACTCAATCAGGAAAGGTGTTTTAGCTAAGATAGTAATTCTTGACTCTCAAACTAAAATATGACCATCTGTAAAGTTTACTGAATTAACCCCTTCACGACGGGTGATGCCGCTAGGCATGAAAACAAACTGCTCGAAAAGTGGCGTGCGGCTGTACGCCACAGCGGTGCAACAGAGCGCGGCGAGCCAGTGATTCAGTCTGATGTACCGAACTCATGTACTCAAAGTCAGCTTGTCAGTAAGAAAACTTTGGTGATAGTGAAAAAATCTGATGCCTTTGCCTCAAAGTATATCTTGGCAATATCATGCTTTGAGAGCTTTTCACGTACAACTGAGTGATTAGGCTAATAGCATTGTATACAAATGATGAACCAATAGAACTATTCTCAACCTTCAAACTGGTTATCTTATTTGCTGAACCAATTGACAATTAGTGACATCCTTTCACTTCATGGCAAATATTACCAGACACCAGGTGAGTTTCACCTGGTGAGACATCACCTGAGCAATGGTTAACCCCTAAAAAGCCAAGAGAATCTGTTTGAGCTGGAGCAACAAAAAATAGATAAATAATATTTTTGGTGATAATTTTGGTATCCATTTGGAGTATCCAATGATATTTTGACAATTAAAAATCTGAATACACAGTTTTGGCCTCCATCTAGAATATCTATGGCCTCATAGGGAGGCCATAGTAACCAAGCCCCATCCAGACCATGTTATTCATTTTTAGCTGAATACTTGGTCCTTGGCTGCCCATCCTAGACCACCTGCCTGCTCCACCCATTCATTTCCATGCTTATCTACAATTCTGCCTCTTCACAGTTTGTTATGTATCAACTCTCTCTAGCAGTTTTCTTATCCTTAGGCTGTCCAATCTTCTTAATTCACTAACCTCATGCAAGTAGCACTTTGGCCAATTTTTATTCAATGTGTTAATTATATATCTACTTGAGAAATGTCTTTGGGGAGGAAAATCATACCTTGTTATTGAGCTGCCCATTTCTGCCCATCCCCAACCACCTAATCTAAATACAAGAAAAGAGCGAGATGGGTAAACCTATATATTCAAACCTACTGTGGGTTAAGCCAAACATTTCATGATCGGAAAAATGCAATCAGATGCTTAATATAGCTCACTACAGTTTACAAATAAAAAATTTGCCACTGACGAAACTTTGCAAAATTGCTGGAGTTGTCAGCTAAGAAGGTAAAGTCATCTGCAGAAGATGGAGTCTAACCCTGTCAATCCGGAGGCAAACTTGTCATCGTGAGCATTTTGGCTGAAGGCCAGGGTGATGGAAAAGAGTGTGGAATGTAATGTCCATGTGCAATGACTGGCTGCATGATGGACACCATTTTCAAACTCATTATCATATTCCTGGTGCCATGACTGGCAGTGCAGGTGGTATTACAATAAATTTAATATTATAAAGAAAAGAAAAGAAAAGAAAAAAAGAAAAGAAAAAAAAAAAGGGGGAAAAAAAAAAATTGCAAATAACAATGTTAAATATTTCTATTTTTCTTACACCGAGTTGTCTGTCCAAAGAAAACAGTTTATTCCCATCTGGATAATGTAAATCAAATGACAATACGGTCTTCTTACTACACACGTGTTTGCGTGCGCTGAGCCTACAAGCCACACACCCAGTACTGTGGCCGCTCACATAAGCCTAATCCCCAGATTTTTGCCTATGTGAATGCCATTATGCAACTGGATCTAAGGGATTATGGGTTAAGTAACTGTTATATTGTATATCTGATAATGGCAAATTTAAACTCAATCAGGAAAGGTGTTTTAGCTAAGATAGTAATTCTTGACTCTCAAACTAAAATATGACCATCTGTAAAGTTTACTGAATTAACCCCTTCACGACGGGTGACGCCGCTAGGCATGAAAACAAACTGCTCGAAAAGTGGCATGCGGCTGTACGCCACAGCGGTGCAACAGAGCGCGGCGAGCCAGTGATTCAAGTCTGATGTACCGAACTCATGCACTCAAAGTAGGCGCGCTGCCATGGTTCACCAGAGCATAGATTTTTTTTTTTTTTCACCCGTCACCACTGGGTTAAGCCTGGATTTATAGCATATATTTGCAAATATTAATGTAAACTGGAGAGTACAGACTCCCCCCACCCCCACTTCTAAACGTGAAATGAAATGTGTTTTCTGTCAATTGTGACTTATTACTGGAAGCATTGTATACTCTACTCACATTAAAGATAAAAATATCACTCACATCCATTTACCTCTATCCATTTAACTAATAATTACTAAAATCTAACATAAAAATCAATTATGTCAACATATGCTTTGTGGGGGTAAATAAATAAATAAATAAATAGATAAATAAATAAATAAATAAAAAAATAAATAAATCATGGCAAACATTGTAGAAAATGACTGTCAAGCAGAAGAAAATATGAGCTCCCTGCAGAGACGAGGAAAAGAATAGTAATGAAAATATATAGATATTTTGTAAGACCATCACTCAAAGAGCACAGAAAGAGCAGGTGTATTAGAAGAGTCCTCTGTAGAAAAAAAAATCATTTTTAGCAAGATTAATGAAGAAATCTGAGAAAGCAAGCACTTTGTACCTCAGGGTTGACACTTATATATACTGACAATGGAAGGGATGAAAAATTCAATCCCAGAAAGTTTTATCATCAAAACAAATACAAAAATGCCTAACTACACAGGACAGCAGTTAAGAGTCTGCTCTTGGAGAGGTGCTATCTGATGTAAGAAACAAAAGGATGCCTGATACCATGAAACCAATGAGATGCAAATCATGGGATTGTCACCTTTAAGTTCAAACACAAAAGGAATATCCACTATTTTAACAAGACCAAAATAATTACAATAATAAGGATAGTAACAGAAAAAACAGGAGAAGGAAAAACAGAGATTCCTAGTGTACTTGTCAGCAAATTGCCTTACCATCGAAAGGACCTCAATGAAAAGTCTAGGATCACAACAACCTTTGGGGCACATCAAGGATTGTACTATAACATGAGACTTTTCTTAAGTTACAGCGACAGAATACCGAGGATAAAGACACAGCAACACTTCAGCTGGGCAGAAACCGCATGAGAACTCAATCTGTATCCATCTGCAAACAAAAAGTTAGAACATAGAACCTTTCACTCTAGAATTAGAAGTTGCAGAAACAATAAATTTAAAGTCCTCAGATATGCAAGGGAGAGAGTTAGTGATTTTACAAAATACAGGAAAGGTACAGGAGATTAACAAAAAGAAAAACACACAAATTCAATATAACTTTTTTTATTTGTTTACTTAACACAAATGGGGAAGTTGCTCATTAAAAAATAAATATAATTTAACTATTCAAAAATCTGATTTCTCCTCCCCAAATTGTACCAAAAACTTATCACTTAAGGCAAGGTGACTCCCTAAAGAAATTAAAGGCGTTGTCTACCAAAAAAAAAAGGGGGACGGGACAATATCACATTTCTGGTTATACTGATATTTGTATCCTGAAGAAATTTCACTTGTCCCCTAACTTTAAGATTGCTAAGCCCTTTTGAGAACTTTGTACGTGGTTTTTTTCCCCCATGTACTGATCCCCTTGGATTTTTTTTCTTTCTTTTTAAAATAATTCAATCCTAAAGAGTTATCTTACATAATAGTAAGTAGACTCAACAACAAAGCTTACTGAGCATGTGATACGAATAGCTTAACACGAATTGGCTTGAGCTTACATAATTAAATCAATGAGTGTAGGAATAGTTTTAAAGTAAAAATGTAAAAATAAACTATTGTGATTTTCTATGTAATATTTCTTTAGGTAAATAAATACAGGTTCACTAATTCCAAACTGATTATCCCACTGCCACAAGAGATGACATGTACATGCCATGTGCACTGAAAGTTTGGTTCATCAATTGAGTTCACACACAGATGGTTCCACAACTGTTTAGTAAACAAGAAGTCAACCACTAGTCCTACCTGTACAACCTGTTTACCGTTTTCCTTGATTTTTTTATAACATTCCTTTTATTTCAAATTGCCATTAGCACTGTAAACCCATTGCTTCACAGCAATCACATCACCAAAAATCCAGGCATTAGACTTACTTGAGCAGCCACTCTGCTGTGTGGCAGCGTGTAGGCCGGGCATACGCAAACGTGTGCGATGACAAGACTCTATGCCTCCTATTTGCAGTTATTGCCTCTTTTTACGCATAAGCATTTTTAGCTCTTTAGCTATTTTTCAATGGCCATATTTGCCATTTTATTTGCATTATCCAGATGCAATAGACTGTTTTCTTTGCACAGACTCCATATCATCTCTCTAGGTAGTCTACAACTCAGTGCAAGAAAAAGAAAAATAATGAACATTTTGTCATTTGTATAATTTTTTTTTTTTACAACATTAAATTTTCTGTAATACAACCTGCATCACTGGTCATGGCACCAGGAATACAAAGCTGAGCATGGAAATGGCATCCTCCATGGAGCCAGCGCTCTTTCACAGTCATGGCTCAGACATTACTTTCCACATTGGAAATTGTTGGGAATACATAATGCAAAATTCCCCAATGAGTAAAATAAATCTCCCAATAGGTCTGTGCACTTGTGGCAAGTTTTTCCTATCACCCTAGCCTTCAGTCAAAACACTCATGACGGCAGGTTCACATCACCCAACCTACAGCCAAATTTTCCTGTGATGGCATATTCATGTCGCCCGCCCCTCAAGCCAGATTTTTTCATGATGTGATGGTCTCATCTCCCAGATCCTTGGGGTTAATAATGCTGTAAATTATAATAATAACAACAACTACAGCATATAGGAAAGGGGAATTTGGCAAGGTCACATAGACCTATCAATTCTCTCCTAGTTGGCTGTGTACTTGTAAAGCCATCTCCATGTATATGCATTTCACATAAGAAATGGATATTACTTGTTCCCTCTTTAGGGGACTGTATCCCTGAGGGGGGGTCATCTTGGGGATCGCTTGTAGTTAGTTAGCTTTTGGCATTTGTACATGAATGAAGAAACTGCATAGTTAGCTAGCTTTCAGCATGAATGAAGAAACTACCATATGATTGTTAGTGCTCACCTCTGATGATTTCTTGGTGTAACATGGCTAAAGTGCCATGGGGTGCATTGTTGATGTTAACATTTTGCACTAGGTACACCTATATCGACTTTTGTTTGTTGCATAAATACTTGTATATACAAGTTTGTGAATGTCCAAATAACAGCTTTATTGAAGTTTTTTAAATCATTATGTTTAACACGTTACTGCCAGGTCACATGTATAGCTGTCAAAACAAACTGCTTGATCTGCTGGGTATGGCTAAACATGTGGCAATGCCCTGGAGCGAATTGTGAATGGGAAATTCTGCTACATGTAACGGACTCTCACTCTCAGTGACAGGACAGTTGCCAGATATCGCCAGAGTCTATGATGCCGGGAGATTTATATTACCATCACTGATGGATTAACAATGAAATGTTGAAATTTTCTTTCTTAGTGTAAATTTTGAAAACATTTACATATGAAATATGCTTTACAATTAGACTCCCAGGTAATATGCTATACCTTATACATCAGGTGTATTAAATAAAATGCATAAAAATATAAATAAATAAAATAAAGTGTAAATCAAGATACTTTAGCTTGGTTTTACTCCAATCTTTGGTACCATCCAATATCGATTTCCACTGGAAAGAGCATTGCAGTTAAGAACCTGTTGGTGGATCTTTCTATACTGAAAAAGACAGAAATTAAAAAATCCTCCAATGACATGGTCTTCATACACAGCCAAAACAGCTGGGGGGGGGGGGGGGAGATGGTGTGTAGACACTTCTCCCCAACTGCCTCCCCAATGGAGTAAAAATTATGAAAGAACAGAAGTGCAATTTAATACTCTTCAACATATCTGACATGGTTCTCTTTTTTTGGATTAGATGACCAGATGGTTTCCTCAAGAAAGAGCCCACTGAGGGGATGCTTTGATTACTTTTGAAGGCTGGAAATCTGCAAAAGGCACCCAGCATACATTAGTAAAACAACAATCATTAAGTTCCGCAATGCACTGGGCGCTTCCTCCTTAACACTCGCTGGAACATTAGTGGAAAATCACAGCTGGTATCACATTGTCTAGCAGTGACAGTTGTTAACACTCTTTACTGTACTGGATATGTCATTCAGAACAAAATCAATTTGAATATGTGAGTCATTAATCAACTATCTTATATCCTACAGAGCATCGTAATCCACCACTCGGCAACAAAATACCACAATCAATTAGCTAATTATTATACTAAGATTGAACATTGTTTTGTTACAAAAGACTTTCATTTCTGTTTTAATAATTAAAATTTCGTAATTCATTGGAAGCATTAACCATTTGCATCTGATGACAAACTTGTCAGCTTCATTATGGATAAGAGCAAGTACCTACTGCCTAATCAGTTCACTAAAAGCTAAATCAGTTCTAAATGACCTCCCACCTAACTCACTGACTGTAGTTGGCAAAAATAGATGCCATGTTCATAGATGCCATGTTTATACACAGATGGCTCCACAAGTACTTACTCACCAAGTCTTCCCATGTATTCAAGGATGGGAAAAACAAGTGCAGTTACTGGGACCTACTAAATGCCTTCTTGGTGGCAGATTACTTGGTGGAACCATCAGTGCAAAACGGTTTTTAAAAACTACAGAGGACAGTACTGGCTAGGAATGTTGTTACTTCAGGGAGATTAATCATCAAACTTCATGAATTCCCTCTCCTCCCCTTCATTACTGAACCAGTGTTACCCTGTAATTCACTATAATTACTAATATTGGGGGTGGGGGGAGGGAGTGATATCTCCTAGTCAAAAGGTTAATGTTTTTTTTCATTCCTCTGAATATTTTCCTAATAAAAAATAAAATATCAATGTTAACTACAAAAAGGGATATAAGGGTGAAAAGTTTTACATAATATTATGCATATCAAATAATGGTTAACCAGACGCCGGGTGTACAAAACAAAAAAAAACAAAAAAAAACTCTACTCTTTAGCAAACAAAGGCGGCGACTTTGAGCGCGTGAGTAGGGGACATCAGCCTGAATCACTGGCTCGCCGCGCTTTGGCGCGCTGCAGCGGCATTCGGCTGAATGACACTTTCGAGCGGTTTGTTAGCACGCCGATCGGCGTCACCCGGCACCAAGGGGTTAAATTTAATTTTTGTATTATCTAAACCAAGTGATGATAGTTATAACTGAACAGGCATACAAGCAGCCCTTACAAATAACTTTATATACCTTAAGTACCTCTGTTAGTACTGGAAATATGAAGAAAACAGAAGTAAATACAACAAAATCTGCATGAAAGGGTACCGTATCGTACATTACCTAAATTATACATCTACACCTCTAGCCATACTAAAAGACCTGCCAAATAGCTATACACATCAACCAAAGGCTCAAGAGAGATGGTCTGTTCATAGATGGTTCAGATTTAGTTTACAGGAATTACATACAGCACTTGATATCGCACCAACAGAAAGACAACTAGAAAAAAAAAAGTTATATTAAAATCCCATTCCAAAACACGAGTATACCTGTTATACAAATTTCAACTCCACCTTCATGTTGTTCTGCAGAAGTTCATGTCCATTATTCCTACCCTCTTCCTTTTCCCTTTCAATACATCTCACACAGGATGGGTTAAAAACTTTTATTTCACCCATCTAAACAAAAAGTCAAAAATGAAAATCAAGTGTTGAAAACAAGACGACGAAGAGAAAAATGAAGAAAATATGAAAAGATAGTGTTGAATAAAAATAACAATTTTACCTCTAATACAAAAAACCTCACTTCTTCCTGAGGCTTGTCTGGATTGACTTTGACTGTCTTAGCGGCTGTGAAGCACTGCAGGTCACGGACACGCTGCCCTGCCTCACCTGCACCCTGAAAATATAAAATCATTGCAATTCACTTATTGTACAGCAGAGAACTATTTTGTTAATAGCATCCATGAAAAGTTTAAGTATCTGGAAATCTAAGAGATCTAAAACAGTTCTTAGGGGAAGAAAAAAAAAAAAAATGGAAAAAGAAAAGGAAAAAAGAAAAGAAATAAAATGAAAATAAAAAAATTAAAAAACTTGTGTGCCAGATCTTCCACTACTGGCAACTGTATTTGACATCAGACTTCTCAATGCCTACTTGTCAGTCGCAATACCGCATTTACAAACACCAAGCAAAATAAATTAAATTCTAGAAGAAAGTGGCAATGGGAAAATGAATGCCAATCTAGAAGGATTTGAAATGGACAGCGACAACATGTAGGAGAGATGAAAATAGCAGTGATAAATATAACCAAAGTGCACACAATCCGTATCATAAATGATGTGAACATCACAAAGCCCTTCCCCCCTAGGGCTGGCTGGTCACACCACCATTAATACATGTATGTATGTATGTCACAATCAAAGCATACTTCCTATATGCAATTTTTAGTACAATCAAATTTCATAATTTAAAACAATGTTATTATAGAGTTCAGACAATTATTTTCAACAACATAAAATCACTTAAGTGAAGAAAAATGTGGCCCCAAATGGAACTATGTGTTTCACTTCACTTCACTTTGCTTGTCTTTATTTTATATATATTTACTTCCAAGAAATATATTCCACTATCCAACACCAAAGCAGTGATGATATTCTAAAAAGAAAAGTGAATGCACATAGTAATCACTGACTTTCAACCTGATGAAAATAAAGTAATAAACTGGGGAAGTTCAGGCCTTCCTGGGAATAAATTACCATAAGTGTGACATTTTGCACCCCTAGACTGTGGTAGGGGTGTGGTGGAGTGCTATTAGTGTTTTGTCATTTGTTTTGCATTATGCAATAAATTATATAAGCCTTTAATTCAAGGGTCGTGAACTTTATAGCCCTCAATTCAAATAAATTGAACAACTTGAATCAAAGCTACTCCGTCGCCTTGTTAATTCCTGTAAATAACAACTGATTTTTTATAAATAGGCATGCAATTAAACACACTTCCCAAAGTGGGGAGGCGTGTACCAGCGCGTGCGAGCGCAATCACACGCCTTTTCCAGGAAGGCCTGAAGTTGATCATAATCTCATTATTGTCCAATGAAAAAGTATGTCTCACAACTAACAAAAACATAACAGAACCAGGTCCTGCCTTACTTGAGTAATCACAGATTTATACATGCCTATACCTGAGAATATAAGATTTAATTATGCTTTCCAAACTGTAATTTTCTTATACCTTCC